GGGTGGAAAAGAAAGGAACATTTTCTTACCAGGGAACTCTAATGGTTTCATGATACCACAATCTTCTCAGAAGAGCAGGAAGGATCCTGGGCCCAGCTTTTAGTCAGTGTCAGGGTTGTGGGGGGTCTAGAACCCTCTTATTATGATGTGCCACTAGGAAATGCTTTGCTCCAGCAGGGGACTGCTGTCCAGCCCTGAGCCCTGCTCTCTATGCTGAGGTGCTGGAGCTCTGGGCTGGACCTGCCTCCTGCCTGCAGGTCTTGGCCCTCATTCCCATCTCTCTCCCCAGCTCTAAATATATGGAAGGGCACTGCAGTCGCTCCTTGCTCTGCTGTCTCAGTTCCCTGCTTCTCCTTGTCCAGCTGTCCACGGGTGAGTGTCCCCATCTGTCTTCCTTTGTGGTTTTAAACAGCAGGATATAAAACATCTGAAAGTATATTTTCCCTCAATTTTTGTTTTCTTGCCTTTGTTTGTGTGTGTGTGTGTGTGTGTGTGTGTGTGTGTGTGTGTGTGTGTGTATGCTGCAAGTGTTAATTCTTTCATTTTATTCCTGAAATATTAATGAAATGTTGATTGTTAGGTGGAATTCTATGAAAGAATCAGACAGAAATTCTGTCATAAAGTTTGCCTTCTAGTTGGAGAGAGTGAGTAATATTAGGTAGAGAGGCCTAAGTTTATTGGAGGAGATGACCATGATGTGAAATGCAGCAGGGCAGGGTGTGGGAAGTCAGGGACATGGGAGGCAGGTGTGGGCAGGCAGCAGTGTTCAGTGAATTGGTGTGTAGATGGGAACATAATCCTGGAGAAGGAGGAGTTAGTTTTAGGACCATTTGGAAGGAGGGTTCCTGCAGGAGGAGCCTCTGCAGAGATGACAGTGTGCTGAGGTGTGAGGAAGCACAGAGGCCAGGGTTGGCTGGACTAGAGCCCATGGGGAGAGAAGCAGCAGGTTAGTTCAGAGAGGTCTTGGGAAGGAGGGTCCACCTTGTCAGATCTGGGGAGAAGTGGGGAGCCATGTGGAGGATTTGAGCAGAGCAGCAACATGGATTAGCTCATGTGTTAAAAGGATCACTTAGGTCAGGAATCCTAGTCATCCTCCAGTTGAGATTTAAAGGTGGATGAGACCAGAGAGGAGAGAAACAGGGTTTGAGAATAGCTCTTTGGAGGCCCATTGCAGCGTGTCCTGCAGAGGAGTCATGTGGTAGCCTCAGAAGCCCAAGAGCACCAAGGGGGTGGAGAGTGATGTGAACTTGCTTCTTGAACATGCAGTGATGGGGGTTTCTGTGAATGATGAGAGCAGGATCTTCACAGCAGTAAGTAGCATTTGACTCTGTGTTTTAAAGTGCATATGTATTTCTCTCCTCCCTCAGTGGAGGAGAAAAATATAGACTGAAGTAAAAAATTTAGAATTGGAAGAGGGGAATTTCCTGGGTGTGGCTGAATGACCAAGGAGAGTTGACCTTTGGTCAGGTGTGCTCTTTGTCAGTTTTGAGGTTTGTCCTGAGACAGGACAAGTTTGACATGGGATTCACAATGTGTGCTCCCCAGACCACCCTTGGAACTTCTTGTACATGTACATTCATTGGTCCACCCCAGATCTAGTGAATGAGATGCTCTGGAGTGGGGTCCAGTGTTGTGTGCTCTATAAGGCATCCTAGTGGCTCAGGGGCATGAAA